CACCTCTAGCTTCTTCTCTTCCCTTTCATTCCTACAAAAGCTGCCTCCACATGGTGTCATTTGTTAAATAAATAAAAAGAAAAGTCTTCATTTTGTTTTTCTTGGAGTGGCTTTGTGGAAACACATCCTTTAGAGAATACATTTCCTGTTTATTTCAGGGTGGAATTTTCTGGGTGGGTCTYTCCATGTCCTCAGTGGACATGTATCAAGCTCTAGTTTTGGAAGTGCAGGTTGAAGTCACGATTGTTTTTGTGGGGACACAGCAGCCTGACCTGTGGGCTGGGCTTTCTGTGGATCGCTGACATAGCCTGCCTCTGAGACAGCCTCTGTCTTGATGGAAAGTTCCCGACAAATATTGCTAAGGCAACCGAGCCTCCTGCTCTGGTGGCTTGGAAGCATGGGGTGGCTGTAAGGGGAGAAGACAGGCAAACACAGAGTAGCTACAGAAGAGAGCCAGCAACTAACAGCGCAGGTCACACCGACTATGAAAATGTACTTTATAAAGAACAAGGAAAAAGAAAAAAGGTATCATCTTAAGGAACCACCGAGGAATTGGATGCTAACTATTCTTGGCCCTGGGTAGAGGAAACAGGGTCCTATCACCAGCTGTAGAACCTGGATTGGGTTCTGCTACACATCTGGTCTTTAGGGTGTGACAAAGCATGTCAGCAGAACCCGGTGGCTACCCTGAGCCTGAGCGGCTGGCACTGGCACCACGCAGGTGGAGTTTCCTCTTTTATAAAATGGGAACGTTTCTACCTCATAGCCCACAAAGACCTTGGGAAAGTGTCATAAAACATTTTAACATTAGGAGAAGAGCCCTCCGCCAGTTTTTCCAGAAGAACTGGCATCTAAATACTAGTTTCCAGATCAGTAGGGCAGGAAGTCATAGCAAGCTCCCAGCCCCAAATAGCAGTTTGAATATCCAGACACACGCAGTGCAGGTCTGCAGTGGGGCCCTGGGGTATGAGCCCTGCCTCCCCACTCCTTGCCTGCTTGGTTTTGGATGAGCAGTGAAGACTCCAGGGCCAGGCCACCCTGTCCTGTCCTGTCACTTGCTGGCCATGCTACTCCAGCAATTCATAGCTTTCTATCAGTTATGATGGTGGCTTGAATTGGGACATTTTTTTTTTTAATACTTGGAAGACAATGAAGGAAGAGAGGGCACAGATTCTTGACTCGATAGCATCATTACTGCATGATCATGTCCTTTACAAGTGGGAATAAAAAATACCTTCCATATCTTATACTGTAGTATGTTTAAGGACGTCCTATTTTTCACTTAAATTCCTTTTGGGCAGTGTAAACCATGCACAGATGTATACACACACACACTCACACATGCACGCATACACACACACACACACACACACACTTTTGGATAAATGACATGTGGAAATAGTGAGTGTACTTTTCGTCTTAGAGTTTGTTTCCTTCATTCTAATTCCATGGTCACCAAGCCACCTCTTGACTATTTTAACTCCTATTAGATTTGGCTACATGGAGCAGATGTACTGGCCAAAGAGAGAGTTTCTAATTGACTTGACAGTTGTACATACATTTTTTGGTATATTAGAATTTGGTCAAAATTTTATTTAGAAATCAGATTCACTACCTAAAAAGAGTCAATGTCACAATGAGAGAGTTTCTATGAATCGAGTCTTAAGAGGCATCAAAACCAAAAAGATAGTGTGAGTTGCTTGAGCAAACATCCTGTTAGAGAGAATCAGCTATGAAAGACCCATGTGAGGCCCTGGGACAATGTGAATGTGGAGAAGGGGATTATCAGGCAATTCACGTGACTCGCATTAGGTGTAACAATGGGGTTGCTGGTAGGGACAAGAACACCTTTGTTTTGGGTCCATTTCTGAGGATGACTTTGTTCTGTGGTCTATTTTTTCCACTCCCCCCAAACAGTTTTGAATATATTGTTTCACTATGCTTTTTAAAGTTTGATGGGAGACTTAGGACAGGTCTTCTAGAAATGGAGAAATGGATTCACATGCATATAACTTATTAATAAATGGCTTGCAGAAGGGGAAAGGAAAGGGAGTGGGGAGAAAGGACTGAGCAGAGGAAGAAACCAAGCAAGCGGGCAGCCGAGTCCCCGCCTCTGCTGACCCTGCAGGGAGCTCTGGAGCACACCTAGTGTCTCAGAGTGTGTCCAGCATGTTAACTCCTTTCCTATCCTGAACAGTGAGGCACTGGATAAAGTCACTGGAGGGGCACAAACTTGTAAGCATTTTCAATTCTGGGGGTGGGTGCAGGCAAAGCCAGGCTGGGCTGTGGCTTTGAGAGATGTTATGTGGGCTCTGGAAATAAGAACTCGAGGAAAGGGGAATGTTACTGATAGTGTCCACGGTAGTGGAGTGAGACCCCTATATTACTCCCCGCTAACATATTGATTAATTTTTGTGTTCATGCAGTACTGAGATTGAGCCCAGAGGTGCTCTTCTACTGAGCTACATCCGCAGACCTTTTTATTTTTTGAGACGGGATCTTGCTAAGTGGCCCAGACTTGGCCTTGAACTTGCGATCCTCTTGCCTTAGCCTCCTGAGTAGCTGGGATTATAGGTGTGTGCCACCATGCCTGCTTTATTTCTTGATTCTTGCCCCCCCTGCCAAATTTTTATTATCCATTTTCCGAGTGCTCTGAACGTGCCAGCTGGAAATTGAATTGCTATGGTACTGAATTGACACATGGACCCCAAGATGTCCCCCTGCCAAGGAGACTTCTCCCTTCCCTTGGCCACACCCTCCAGAGAGCACCAGCAAATTTAGAAAGTTTCAGTTGTGAGGCTGGATTAAAAAGGGCAGGAATGATTGATGTCTATCGTTAAACAAATCTCTAAATCATGACATCCAAATTTTGAGAAAAGAACGGCAGTTAATCAATTAATTAAAACCCAGGAATAATACGTCCACTTATTTTAATGCTAGAGATCCAGGGAGAATCCCAAAATGAACTCTACTTGGGATTGATTCAGATAATGATCATTTATTTTTGTTTTGTTTGTTTTTTTTTTCTTTAAAAGTGGTATGTCAACATCACCTCATTTCTACATTTCAGAGTCCTGTACATCTCTTAAAAGGAAATAAGCAATGCTCAATGTACAAAGTAAAAACAGAAAACTAGAAAAATCTGAATCAAATGGAGCCAGTTGCCATAGGTCATACAGTACAAATTAGTCATTAGATGTAATCTGAAGTGCAATACCACTGTTGTGATGATGAGTGAAGGAATGAAATAAAAATACTCTATTTTAAACAAACAGTATATATATATTTATATGTATATATTTTTTTACAGATAGTAGACCCAGTGATATCTGCAGTATTGTAAAAACTTATGTACAAATAACTTTTTTTTTTAGACATTACATATACATCAGCACCGTAGTAAAAACAAAACAAAACAACCTTATTAAAATCTACCTCTCTATTCGTTGGTCCCAGGACTGAGCGGCTGGAGGAAGCTTTGAGGAGATGATGGAGCCTCCCCCTCTCCATCAGCCTCCTCCAGCTCCTCCTCATTGCTTATATATTCATTTCCTGAACCTTGCAGGAAAGGGTAATAATTATGAATCTGTATCTCGCATTTGTTTTTTACTTTTTGGTTTTCATCTGTTTCTTCTCAGCTTCCCTCCCCATTCAGGAAGTTCACAGTCACCCTGCCACCACCTTCCATCAGCCAGGTGCCTCTGGTCTCCCCTCCTGCCCTTGGCTGAGCAGGTCTAGACTCCTGGCAGATGCAGAGCAAGTCAAGGGCGATGCCTGCCTGCCTCCTCTGCCCAGCTTTCCCCTGGAACTCGCCTTCAGCCAGGGCGGCCTCCATGGGTTCTGACCTCCTGTGCTGAGTTGTGTGTTGGTGCACAGAAGGGAGCCAGCAAGTAGGACACGAGGGGACCAGGGACAGGAGGAAAGTCCATTCAACTTGTGCCACTTTGCCTCCATGGGAGGGGAGGCAGACCAACAGACATGGAGGTGTCTCTTAGGGTGGAGCTGAGAGCATCAAAGGACACCTGTACAGAACTCCCGAAGTGGATCACCTTGCCCTTAGGAAAGGAACCTCCCCGGTTCACTATCCAAATCCGGAAAGTGGAGCTATTGATTTTCTGTTCCTAATCTCTGGGGTTTTATATTGGTGTTTGATGATGAGAAACACCAATTTTAGAATGACACCCCTGGGATTCTCACCAAGAGAGTCAGAACTGGTGCTCTCCAGGCCACGCCTCCCTGGGGGTATCAGAAGCATCAGACGTGTAGCTCATGTAAACCCACACGCGCAGCGCACTCGGTTCCAAGCAGACATTCGTTCCACTCTACGCAAGTGGGAGAAAGAGTCTCCAGTATCCCCTTGGCCTCCCAGGCATTGTCTCAGTTTTGCATTTATTCTGACTTTGCTCCAAAGCTTCACCTCTTCTTGGATGGTCTTTAAGGAGAAGCAAAGGCAGGCTGGGGTGCAGTGAGGGAGTCCAGAGGCAGGGATGAAGGAGGAGGCCTGGCTGACCCACACAATCCAGCAGGGGTCCCTCCACCCTGTGGTCCCCAGGAGCAGATGAGAGCCACCTGCTTGTCTATTATTGTACTGACCCCCAAAGACTCCACTCAACCTGGAGTGGTGATTGGCATGTGGCAGCTCCCTAGGACTGCTGGAAGGCCCTTCTCAGTCTCAGCTGGCCTGAGGTTCATGGGCAGGGGCAGAAGACAGGCCTGCAYGATCCTTGGTGGTCCTTTGGGATCAGTCCCTGTTCTTCCTGCCTGTTCTGCAAATACAGGAGCATGTCTGGAAGGGCGAGTCTCTTCCCACTCAGAGACTGGAGCGTTTCTGACCTGCACCTGCCTGTGCGGTGGCTAGCAGCTTCTGTCTCTTGTGTCTCCTAAGCTGTAGTCCCTGGACCTGGAGCAGGAGGGCTGGCGGTWCCTCACCTCTGGCCAYAGTCCAGTCCCTCTGGGCTGGAGCAGCTCTTGCTGGGTCGGACGATCACAGGGGGCGCTGAGCAGAGGGATTCACTTCCTTCATCTTTCCCCCCTGCCCTCCCCATCTCCTCTTTTGCAGCAGGGATCGGCATGGCGCCTCAGCTCGATTGCTGTGTGAAAACCAGGTGAACGAGGCCCCCCTGGGCCATGGTGGACACCTGGATCTTCCACCATCAGCCAGCTGTAGTTTTGCTCAGTTTACGTGGGTCAAAAAAACAAAAAAACATGGACGGGTCAGCATCCTGTTTCTTTTCCACGTGGTAAGCCTGTACCACTGTAGCTGTGGCTCCCGGGACCCCTCTTGACTAGGGGTTACCAAATAATTCATCAAGCTCTTGCATCCACTCATCCCCTGGCCCGCTTTTGATGATGGAGTCCACTAGGTCTGCACCGTCCGGGAGTCCAGGGAAGGAAGCCCCCGCGCCTTCGCTGTAATTGTATGGCATGTCCTGAGGAGGGTTCCGCTCATAGGCTTGACTCTGGCTGCTGGGGGCAAAGCTGCCACTGGGCATCTGCTGCTGCGCTGGGGGCTGGCTGAAGGCTGGCATGCCAGGGACGCCCTGGTTCAGCCCAGACATGACCATGGGCCTCGCCTGGCTGGTGCCCTGCTGCCCCGGGAGTGGGGGCATCATCTGCCGACCCATGGCAGCTGGGTTGAGGGTTCTCACTGTGCCAGTGTTAGCGTCCATAACCGACTGGCTCAGTCCCTGGGGGAAGTGCTGCTTGGTCAGTCTGGGTTGGCCGGCTTGAAGTGGGTAGCTGGYGCCATTGTTGAATGGGCCCAGTTCTCCACTAGTCCTTCCGGGCATTCCCTGCAAGCTCCTCTGTTGCCAGCTTTGCGCTCCTTGCTGGACAGTTCCCATGATGCTCTGAAGTCTTGGAGGGGCTTGGGGCCTTGGTAAGGCCTGGCCCACTGGGCCTTTCATCTGCTGGTGCTGCTGGGTCAGGGCTGAGTTCACCAGCATGCTCTGACCAAAGCCACTCACCATGCCGACCCCTTGGCCAGAGGCAGGCTGCCTCGGCCCCTGGGCTTGGTTGTGTGTGATGCTCATGCCACTTTGGTTTGGGTGCTGCAACATTTGGGTCATTCCTGTGCTCATACTGTACATTCCTGGCTGGCTGGTAGGTGTGGTGCTGTAAGGGGCCAGTCCCATCTCTGACTGGGCCGCAGCTGTGGCCATCGTCCCTGGGTTCTGGGAGGGCCCCATTCCCATCATGCCTGCGTTCTGTGCCATCAACCGTGACGTTCGCATGCTCTGGAGGGCTGCCTGGCTTCTCACGGCTGCTATATCCTGGGGTGAGCCTGCAGGAAAACACAGGACACTCATCACTCACTCTCCTCCATAAACATTATACTGTGACAAGTTGCTGGACTTTCCTTTGGAAATGACAAAATCCTTAATATGAAAGGATTTACTCTGATAATATATCTTTAATAAAAATGATTATCATTTTTCTAATTATAACATATGCTGATTATGCAAAATTTGGAAATTATTGAAAAGCACAAAGACAAAAATTAAAGTCACCCAAATTTCCGCTACTTTTTGTACTGGGAATTGAACCCAGGGGTACTTAACCACTGAGTCACATCCCCAGCCTTTTTTTAAATTTTGAAATAGGGTCTCACTAAGTTGCTTAAGGCCTCTCTAAGTTGCTGAAGCTGGCCTTAAACTTGCACTCCTCCTGTCTCAGCCTCCTGAGTCAGTGGGATTACAGGTGTGCATTTTAGAAGCAAACTCTTTCTCACTCTTCTGGATATGATGCCATCAACCCAATAGGATACCATTTTCTTTGAAGGTGAAGGGGGAATTCATCTCTCCAGCTAAATTAAGAGGAAATGTCTGATCACGCTGCACATTCTATTTGTGAAGTGGAATGTGGCTCAGTAGGGAATGCTATCAATGGAAACCATTAGGCTGATTTCCCTGGAGACTGGAGTAGGATTTGAGAGGTCGGATGTCATCGCTTCTGCCCAGTAGCTATTTTGACAAATGGGACATTTTTTTAGATCCATCCTGTAGATTTCCACATGCTCTGGATTCTCTGACTCATACATGTCAGTTCAAACTGATCAGCTTCTAGAGCTAGAAAAAGAAATCATCTTGTTACTTGCTTCTTGGCAATGAACTTTGTAGCAAAGTCTACCCTTTCCAATCTGCAATGACTGTGAACTTCTCTCTGCAGATCACCAACCAACAGTTCTATTGACGCTGTTTAAATGTTGGCCAGAATATCTATCAACACCAAGTCATTCAACTTCAATTAGGCATTTAAATGAAGCTCTTCTTTCTGATTCCCATAACATTTCCAGACCAGCCAAGTGAATGGCAATGTCACCTGTGGAACACCAGTCAATGTTGTAAAGGGCTGGGAGGAGCACAAAAATAGATTTTTCTATGGCTCTGCTAATGTTTAAGTCTATGGGAAAAAGAAAAATAGTTCTTTTTCCTGGACATTTAAAGAAGATGCAGCACAAGAGCTGATCGATATTATAAGCAAATTTGATCCCATCTGGAACTGTGATGAGAAACCAGCTGAGAACAGTCTAACCTTGTTAAGCCTGGCACCTTGGCAGATAACTGAAGCATGTTTTTGTCTTCCTGATGGGGTTATTGATTTCTGGGCAGCAAATACGTCTCCATATTTTCTTCCTTTCTTTAAGAAATAAAATTATGGGAATTTTGATTATGACTTAAGTTTTTGTGGCTTCTGATCAATATGAGGCTACACTGAAAAATGAAACAGTACTAAGGGGAAACTGAAAGATCTAAAAACTTAAATCCCTAGAAGCATCTCAATTTTTTTAAGCTTAATTATATCCAAGTAATTTTTGGAAAAAAAAATCAAACCCTCTTGGTCAAACACTGGATGGTAGTATCTCCTTCAACTTGTAATCTTGTTATAAAGTTTTGTGACCTTCACCACTGAATTTGTATCGACTGCATGGCCAATCAGATCGTGAAATGAGTTATTGAGTTGTTTACAAAAAATTTAAGGGAAAAATATTGCTGACTCAGAGATTGATTGGATAGACTCAGATTATATAAACAGACTGATGGAGATGACGGCTGGACACAGATTAAAGGACTTTCATAATTTGGACATTTTAGTTTTATATTTATAATGGATGTTGAAGGACCGAGTATTGTCTGGACTAAATTTTGTGAATGGGAAATGGGTTCCTTTCTTTAGAAGGCAGAAATGTTGAAATGCCCTTTAACAGGTAGTGAAACATTATTCAAAGCCAACTATTATTTTTACTTAGCATAAATGACGGCACCATCTAGATGCAATTCTTATTTTTTAGAAAAAGCATTTAAATATCAGCAATCAGCACAATATTTTCAACCTAATCGAAATATAAAGCTTTCTATTAGCCCAGTTTTATGCCTTCCGTTATTTTAAACATACAAAGGAAAAAAATTCAAATGCATCCAAAGAATTAATTGTCTTTACCTGATTACTAAGTGGGTTAAACAGACTATTTTTTCTTTTTCTTTTTGTCTAAAACAGATATTATTGTGAGACACTGTAGTCACATTAATTTTCTTGTCTGTTGGTTAACATCACAATGTCAGCGAAAATCTTCCATATTCAAACAGAGATGGCAATATGAAGTTTTTTTTCCCTAAAAGGTTCTATGTTCTATTTTCATTCACAATTCTATATTTGTGAAAAAGAAGCATTTGGTATGGATTATCACTCAGAGGCAAGGAACTTAACAGGAAAAAGGAGGGTCATTAAGACCTTTACACTGCGTGGTGGTTACGAGCATGGTGTAATAACCATGCAAGTAATTCCTAATAGAGCTTCTCTCTGAGGACTGTATTTATTATCTATCAATTTACCATCTTCCCAGGAGCATAACATCACACTATCTAGGGATCCTGGGAAATACTGAACATAGCAAAAAAATTATTATATCTCAGACCCATCAGCTCAGGGGCCCTACTAACTTTTAATCTAGACTCAAAGCATTCAGAAGAGTCATATAAATACATATCTACGTCCTGTAACACAGAGGAATTATTCAACTCTGGTGGATCCTTTATTTCAAAAACAATAAGTGAGTTATGAACGTAGAAAATTCAAGGGACTCTGTGATTGGTATATCGGCATTTATGTTTTTAAAGCAGCAATTCTCCAGGTGTGCTCCCCTAGCCAGCTGGATTGGCAACTCCTGAGAACCTGTTAGAAATGCAAACTCTCAGGCCCCAGGCTGGACCTACTGAGTCAGAAACCCTGTTAAAGGGGCCCAGCTGTCTGTGCTTTAATAAGCTCTGCCGGTGACTCTGCTGCAGACTCAAGTTTGAGAACTCAGGTGAAAAGGAGGGCTCTGGATCTGCGACAAAGACTTCATGTCACAGTGACTCTCTAGTGGAGAAACTTGAAACAGTACTTCTTCAAAGAATACCGGCACTGATCAGTACACCTGTGTACAGGTCAATTCTTTTTGTCTTTCCTGGGTCAAGTCCAAAAGGGTCTAGGGTCATATAAATGGTCCAGGGGTGCAAAGGAGTAGGAGTTATTCAGGGCCTAGTGTTTTCACAAGCACTCTTCAGCAAGATCTATCAGTAACTGCTAGTGGGTTTCACACTCATTAAGCCACAAGTCATAGTGGGTGATCCAGTATATATACATGGGTTTATAATAGAAACTAACATTTCTGATATTCCCTGATAATTTCTATTGTATTTCATTTAAAACATGTGAATTATGACTCACTAAATCATTTTAATCATCTGTTATAACCCAAAGACTGAGAAGTGCTACCCCAGGTCATAAATTGTTCACCTAGTCTATTGATCAAATTCCAGAGTGTCACACATGGGCAATGATATCAGAGTTTGCATATATTTACATATATGCATATTTCTGTGCAGAGGCTCTGTAGCTTCCAACAGATTCTTTTTTCCCCTATTTTTTTTTAAATTGGTGTGTTACAGTTGTATATAATGTTGAGATCTGTTGTTACATTTTTGTACATGCACATCATATAAAAATACAATGTCGTATGATACTTGACTTTCTGAGTTTGATTTATTTCACTTGTCACAATGAGACAAATGAAGGGACTCTTCCATCCATTTTCCTGCACATAACATGCTTCCAGCAGATTCTTAAAGGGTCGGTAACATCGAGGGGTTAGAACACTGATCTGAATCCCACTACACAGGCAGAGGGTGAGAATTAGGGTTTCTGTGGCCCCCCTGAAAACTCTTGTGGGTAAGATTGGGAAGGGTCCTAGGCTCTTCCTCCAACCATAAGAGACTCTCCAGGGTTCTCTCTTGGAGACTGGGAGGGCTTGATATTCGAGTGGGCCTTCTGCATTTACATGCAGTGGCTACACTGGCATACAGTGTGCCCACAATTCAGGATTTTTGCAACTGGCAGCAGGTTTGGCACAATTCACTTGGCCTCAAGGCTCTACCTTTCTTCTACGTTTGGCATAGACTGGTGTTTGTTTCAAGCCAGATTCTTCCACTGGGTTGTTGGAAGTGAGGGCTTTGGTCACCTCACCTGTTGGGATTAGCAAGAAAGATACAGCCCAGGACTTGGGCCCTGTGGTCACTAACATKACCATCTAGACATAAAAAATGCTGACACTGGGCCAGTAGGCACTGATGTGTCCTTACTGGTTGCTAAACTAGTGAAAGATGCTGTTCCTTTGCCAAAAGACAGCTGCCTGAGTCTTCCCTTCCACCACCACCCCATTCCCCCTGGGCTCTCTGTGACCCAGTGACCAAAATGATCATTCCTAGCACAATAGGGGCCTCCAGGAATCCATTCTGAATGCTTGGTACTCTTCTCCTGCCAGCTGCTAAATATTTTCGAGACTCTCTAGACACAAATACAGACTGTAAGGCAAMGCCACGGGCCACGCATTCCCTACGCTTTGCCACTGAGAAGGATAAGGCAGAAGAGGTGCAGAACGGCCTCACCTTGAAACTGATTGACTTGCTGCACAGGGTATGGGTTCCGCTGTTGCTGGAGGTGTTGCCGGGGGAGATGAGACTGCTGCAACTGCTAGAACGAGAGAGGACAAAAGAGATGGGGACGTGAGATGGGGGAAGGACACTTGATTRTACATCCTGGGAGTTGGGGAAGGCAGGGTTGTTTCCCAAAACTCAACTTTCTGTTGAAAAATAACGTGCAAACAGGAAAGTGTGCAAAGTTCAAGTACACAAGTGGGTGAATTTGTACAAAGTGAACACAATCCAGGTAACAGCTTCCATAGGTCTATAACAGCTCCTGGTGCCCCTCTGGTCATCACCCTCCCTTGACCAGGGGTATGATTAGCCTAACTTTTAACAATGTCCACTGGTTAAGTCTGCTTTTGTACTTCATAGAAAGGGCTTCAACCTGGCACGGTGGCGCATGCCTGCAATCCCAGCAACTCTAGAGGCTGAGGCAGGAGGATTGTAAGTTTGAGGCCAGCCTCAGTGACTTAGCAAGACTTTTAGCACTTAGCTGGATGCTGTCTCAAGATAAAAAAGGGTTGGGGATATGGCTCAGTGGTTAAAGTCCCCCTGGGTTTAATCCCCAGTACCAAGGAATAAAAAAATAAAAAATAAATTTATTGTAAAAATGGACTAATATAATGCTGCTTTYGTGTCTGTCTTCTTCTTATACTCACTGCTATATTTGTGAGTTTCACCTGTGCTGGGATGTACACTGATTGCTTTCTTATTCTTACTATTGAATAGCATTGATCCTATGAATATACCACAATTCACCCATCCTACCGCTGGTGGTCATTTTGGGTRTTTCTAGTATGGGGCTGACATGATATCTTTGCTACGAACATTTCTGAATGTGCTTTTGGTGAACATCTTCCTGCATTTCTGATATGTGACTTGCTGCTCATGAGGAATGCGTGTCGAGGGAGGTGGTTTGGATTTGAATTTCCCAAGTTTGGCCTGCATGCCTTTCCTTAGCACCAAGGGGACCCAGCTCAAAGGGACAAACAACTACTTTTCAATGACCTGAATAGATGGTTTGGGCAGAGGAGGATGCGATCCTCAGGGGCTGTATAAAAGAGCTAATCTTATTCCCATGAAGYCACACTGCCTGAACATACATCTAATACAAGTAAAATATTCAGCATTTACTGCTTTGAGGAAACCACATGGGATTCCACATGTACCAAGATCCAGGAGGCCAGCATTTTCGTCTTTCTTCTGCCACTCCTGGGAATTTGCACTACTAGTATTGTTACCAGTACACCGGGCAGGCTATTACGATCATTATCATTCTGTATGTGCAAAGCAAGAGGACCCAGAGTGAGGTGGAAAGAGAACAGAAAGAGGTATTAGTTCTAGGGCTGCCCCTGAGTAGCTGCGTGACCTTCGGAGGCTGGTTGACCTCCTTCTTGCATCTGCTGAATATGCATGAAGCACCTCCATCTGCAAGGGCTCCAAGGAACCTACAACAAGGCCTGCTCTTTAGAGTATTCATTATAAAAATAACACACATAGACCACTTCTTACCACATGTGTTGGCTTCTATTTTTTTCTCTCGTGTTTGTTCCTGAGCAACTCTATAATTTTCTTTTTCTCTACAAGGCCAGCCAGCATTCTGGCATSCAGAAGAAAAACACACAGCCTCTACCCCGTTGACCCCAGCTGAGTGCCTACCACAGGACTCTGCAGAGAACTCTTGACATTTATCGACGTGCAGACCATTAAAGAGTCGACCAGAAACCATGCTAATCTTTTCGGCAGCAATATAGAGGCATGATTGAGAGTTAGCTGAACATTTAAAAGTTTCTCCTCAGCTGAACTTCCCATCATATGCAGGAATTTAGGTCTGGGGTATAGTTCAGTGGCAGAGCACTTGCCTAGCATGCTCCAGGCCCGGGGTTTGATTCCCAGCATTAAAAAAAAAAAAAAAAACTCAAAAGAGGAAATTATAATGGTCCTGCAAATACATTCAGTACAAAAGAAGGCAGCAGAAGAACAAAAAAAAAAAAAAAAAAAAAAAAAAAAAAAAAAGGATTAAACTGTGCCACTCACAGAGAGCAACAAACCTGGGCTATGGCCTGGAGTCAGGAGTCAGGAGTCCCATTTCCCTCTTGGCTCTGCCTCTCTCTAGTTCTGTGATCTCAAATAAATCACGTAAGCTCCCTGACCTTAAGTGTGAGCTTTCGTCACTGTGACTGAAACACCTGACAAGAACAACTTGGAGGAAGAAAAGTTTATTTTTGGCTCATGGTTTTAGAGGTTCAGTGCACGGTTGACTGACTCCATTGCTCTGGACCCAAGTAAGGCAGGCCATCATGGCAGAAGGGTACGGTAGAGGACCCCGGCTCTACTTATGGTTCCCAGGAGGTAGAGAGAGGAAGGGAGAGGAAGGGGACATGAGGCAGTGACTCATTCAAACTAGGATGAACTGATTAGGTCTCAGCTCTTCTAATCCAGTCTCCTCACCTACATATTCCTGTACTAACCGGAGCTTTTGGGGTATATTTCATATCCAAAYCATGACACCTTAATGTCCTCATTTGTAAAATGATTGGGCTTCACTATCTCAATTTCTTTCATATCTAAAATCCCCAATTCTGTTGACCCTTTGTGAACAGATGAGAAGTGACAGGGCCTTGCTCCTGGAGAGTGAGGCATTTAATGTTAACCCACGCCGGCTTTCAACGAGACTCAGTTTAARGTTCCCACAGATCTGCCATCCCAAATCCTTCTGTTTTCCTCATATGGCCTTTCAGGAAACCCAAGTGTTTCCGATACACTGTTTCCAAAATTAAAAATTGCCGGGACACTTTCAATGCTGCAGAGACAGAAAATCAGCAAGGTGTTGATGTGACAGGCAGTATTCATTCTCTAGCAAAAAGTTGACAGCTCACCACTTGGAGACCCCCCAGGATAGCCTGCACTAATAAGTGCTATCTGCAGGCCCAGGGCAAGATGCCATTCTGATGTGGCTGGCACATGGGTTGCAGCTCTTCACAATGTTCTCTGACACCAAGGTCACACSTTGGGTCCCCATATAAGTTAGTAGAGAGCATATAGCCTCCAAAGACATTTGCACACATGATCTCATGTGATTGTGAAACCAGCTATATGAAGGAAATTATTCAAACTTAATCTGGTAGACGAAGTCAGAGGCCAAGTGGTTTGTTTCAAAATCACCACTGCAAGCAAGAGGATGGGCAGGTTCTCACCCTGAGTAAAATAATCTCGACTTGGACCCCTATTATAAATTCACACGGTTGCTAAAGAATTGCATTCAGGTCACAGTCCCCCTGCCATCTTTTCCAAGGAGTCCTCTCTCTCTCTAGGTCCTGGATTCCAAGGGGTCTTGAAGTCTGGGCATCATTTGATACATCTCCTTCTACACGCTCCCACCTCCTTCTTTATTCCCCCAGGGCTTGGCTGATCTGGCTCCTGAGTAGGAGTATCCTGGGACTGGCACTGTTGATTTCTGCCTGGTCACCCTGACTTCCCCCTGTGCTTTGGTGGCAGCACACGTACCAAAAGCCATCACTCAACATCTCAGGCACACCTGAAATTTCCTGGGATTGGCCGAGGAGAGGATTTACAAAACCCGGCTTCCCTCTGCAGCTCCATTTATCACCGCCTGAGAGATATTAGCATGGCTGCTTGTCACACACCTTATGCAGGGTGAGAGGGATAGAGGTTTGTTTGTACAATAGCTGCCAGGCGGCTGACTGACCTTGGTAAAAAGGGAGATAATTACACAGCTGTTCAGGAAGCAAAGCAAAAACMGGGAACATGAGTGAACTGTGCCCAACAGGACAATTTTTCTCTTTGGGGGATAACTGGTGTTACTTCGAGCTTCTGTTCTTGGTTAGTAGGGACATCGATATGCCCGTGTCCTACCTGGAATCTTGTAAATAGGCRGTGGTGGATGCTTTGTAAATTTCTAGAATTCTGATCTCATTAAGAACATTCTAGAAGGATTACCATGAGTCAGAGCCATGTTGGGCCTTGAGCCTTATATGACAACCTCCCACCTCTCACAATAAAGAAGCTGCTGTGTGAGATCCCCTGGGCAGGCCCCCACAGGGGCCATCTGGGGATCTCTTGCAGGCGGCCTCAGGCCCTCCCTGGGATAATACTAAATCAGGCTCAGGCATCTGTAAAAACAAAACAAATCAAAACCTACAGGAGCGGTCTGCAGGGAAGGCTTTCTTTCAAAGCTGGTGGACAAAGATGCCTAAGGTAGTGGTGTACTTGTGTCAGGCCTTCCTTTAACTCACAGATTTCCTGAGCTGTTTTAAAAGCTGTCAGGAACTTTCTTAAGTTTTCACCCTCTCTGTGACCCCCAGTTCAGGTTTCCAGGTGGTTCTGCGGGCCCTATTGTTCTGCTATTGTTCCTGGTCCATTGTTCGTGACCAATTCTGCAGAATTCTCCCTCCTCCTGCACTTTCCCCCGAGAAACAAAGTTCCTGGAATTATTATTTTTTTGCTTCATGCTAGAAATATGAGGGCCTCAGAAGAATGAGAGCCAGCCCCCATTGYAGGCTGATGACGCAGATCCCTGTACCAGGATCCAGAAGACAAGGAGCCAGCCTCGGATTGAAGAACTGTCTCTGACAAATGGGCCTTCACATTGATGGCTGAAGCTTGCCTTTTAMGAACAAACTAATTCATTAGAGGAAAAAGCCTAACTAATTGAAAAGCTCTAAATTCTGTAGGTTCTTCTGTGGTCCTGCGAATTGCTGGTCTGTGTGCCAGGGACAGGGATTGTGGTGAGTCCCTCACAGACAGCAGGTGCCACGTAAGTGCTTGCTGAATGGATGGATCGCACCACGGAGGCACAGTACCTGCTCAGCCAGAATCTGCTGCTGCTGTTGCTGCTGCTGCTGCTGCTGCTGCTGCTGCCTCTGCTCCCTCAGGAACTGTTGCTTCTGCTGCTCCATCAGCTGAGCCCGCTGATCAATCAGCATCTGCTTCATGATGGCTGCCTGGGGCTGGCTGCCCAGGAAGCCGGGACCAGCAGGACTGGCCCCAGAGACCATGCTGCTCGAGCCTGGGGGCACAGAGGACTGCAAAGGGCCTGTGGTCCGAGGAAGCCCAACTGGGTGCGGCTCCTGGGGGGACAAGAAGAGAGACGGATGCAGTGATTCCTCATGGACACTCGCTGCCCTCTCAGGGGAAAGCCCTGGGAGGGGGAAGGGAGCAGGCCCTAGGGGTCCTCAGGGGCACCCATTATATTTCTATAAAAACAATCCAGCAGTCCTCAAACCCGGCCTTCCCTCAGTAGAAACAGAGGCTACAGGGGATTGTGACAGGGYGTGGCTTTGTCACAATTTGGGAAGTCTGAGCCAAGTCCAGTGTGTTTCAGGTGAAACTAAAGGATATGAACTGGATTTTCAACTCATCAGGCTGGGCTCACCGTCAGCTTGGAGGTGGCATCCTGACCTCGCCCATGATTCCTCCTCCTTACCGTCCATTTGGCAAAATGKACATCTTAGCAAGTAGGAGGGACAAACCCAGAAAAATGCTGGGTATTTTATTTTTTTAAAAAAATCAACAGATCTGATATTTGATGTTTTTCTAATTGATTACGACATTGAAGGGATTTAAAAATCTTGCTGGTCAGAGTTGTGGATGGTGAGAATCGGCAATGTTTTATTTTGACCAAAGCTGGGTAATCGCTTAACATCTTTAAAAATGGAATCGTGTCTCATGTGTCTAGGATGATTTGAATGTGGGGGGCCGGATTGGGACTCTTGATTCTATAATTGTATGTCAGAGAGTCAACTAATGGCAATTTTTAAGGACTGGGGTCCTGCGGGGATAGAAAGTGACAGGGAGCTAATCCCCTGCAGCCCAAGCCCTGGAGGATGGGCTCAGAGGGGTCTAAAGAGCTGGGCAGAGAGGGCACTATGTAGGAAAAATAGTTGATGGGACGTCAGGTGTGGGGTGAGATTTGGTTTCTAGACACTTCTACCAAGCACATCTGGTAATGGCAAGTATTGTTCTGCAGAAATACTTCTTCTAGTTAAGTTTTAATCAACTAATCTGAACCTAGAGGAGCTGATTTCTGAGGTATATACAAATTAAGTGGGTACAGCTATAAGGACAAAAACGGCCATACCCTGAGCGACTATCATGAGACCTAAAGAATAAGAAAGGAATGTGAACAACTCTGTGGTTGTTTWAAAAATTATTATAATGTGAATTGGATTTTAGCATTTTCCTCTTTTGTGTTGCTACCTTTTCAATGTAGATATTGTTGATCATGCTGGAAGTTTCCTCTCAAAACACAGAGTTCATCTCTGTCCTAGACGGAGGGTCCTGGATTTAATTCCCCACGACCCCAGCTTGCTGTACTCCAGTTTCCTCCCACTGCATAGGTTGAGCCTCGCAGACTTTTCCTTCCACCCTCGAATTTCTATCTACACCACATCTTTGGTTGCACTTCTTCCCTCTTTCCATCCACCCAAACAAACAGAATAAACAAAAACAAAGACCARGACACAACACACTCCTCCTCCTCTTACCCCAGCAACAGTGGCTCAAGTGTCCTGCTAGTTAGTGTAGCAATTAGTAAGTGAATGACCCCTAACTAGCAGACCTAGAATACTAAGCTTGGTTCTAAATGCAAGATTCTTTCCACTTGCCCTGGCCCTGTCTAGGCTATGCATGGGGCCAGATGCACACTTAAGAGTGGCCTGTAGACCAAATATCTAGTGTGTCTCTCAAGAATGTGCAGTGTCACACATAAATGCTGGCCCTGAAGTTCATAAAACTTTTTTTGGGTGTGCATTTTTTTTCTGTAATTAGGTAGAGAGCCATGCAATATTTTTAATGTTGCTAAAAAAAAAAAAGTCTAATGCCAAAAAAAAAAAAAGCCCCAAATCATGATGTTTCCAAAAAGTTTATTTTATGCCTGACCCTTGCAGGGGTCTAGATATTTCAGGGTCTTCTTTCTTCAAAACACTTGCTACCTGCTTTCCAAGCCCTTCCTTCTCACAGGATAGAGCTGTTTCTTGCTACCCATCCAAATGGCTGACTTAACACGTTTACAAACCAGTTTACACTGATGCATAGTCCATCAGCAAGAATATTGATATATTTTTCTGCATGTTTCAGTATATTTCATGTTTTCCAGTTTTGAAAAGGAGAAGGAAGTTGAAGAGAAATGAGACCCAAGGAAAGATAACAGGTTTTTGTACCTTGAGTTTTTGAGAGGGCTGCCCTGACTGGCCCTGTTTTCTTTGTGCACTTTGAGGTATTCTTGTCCTGTGGGACCAGCTCCACACAGCTGGAGAGTATGCCCCAGGGGAGGATCGGGAACCTTTGCTTTCCCAGATTTCTCTCCAAAGGGAAAAGGAAGGGAGAGGCAAATGGGGTGATGATGTTCATCTATTGAGCCACATTTTTCCCCCTGTGGGGAAAAAATACTCCCAAAGGGATAGATAATAGTGATTACTTCCAGGGATTCCATTATTTCCCCAAAGGATCCTCTCCCGGAAGTTATGCCTTGGAGTTCCTCACTGAAGAACACTGGCAGAAGGGCTGTGTGCACTGGTGAAGGATCACCAATGAAACATCTCAGTGCCTTCCCAGCAAGCTCTGCTACGTTCAACAGCAGGTGAGAGTCACCTACCGCCCCAGCCTCAGGTGTGTATTGCTAAGTGTGAAGGCGCATCAAGTGACTTGCATTACAAATTAAGCTGGCGGAGCTCCTTCACATTACAGACTTCTTTTAACCTCCAGTCTAAGAAGGCTTAATGAGAAATAGTCTGTCAAATTTCATGATTTCAAGTCTCTGCTCTTGTTTCTAAGGAGGACACACACTGTGTGGTGCAATTAGAGGAAACCAGGCTGAGCTTTCGTCATGCGACATGTAATGCCTGGGAGCCAAATGATGCAGTATTTTTAGTTTTAATTACTGGCTTGTTCTCCACTCCCTGCCCAACGACCTCCCTGGCTTTCTCCACAGAATCTTAATACATTCTCTTCCCCTCAAATCCAATTGGCTACATAGATCTTCATTACTCCCCAAACCTTCTCAGTCTCCAGTAAAATAAAGGGAGGAACAAGAAATCAAACCCAATGAACCTGTTTTACACGTCTTCCCCCCTCCAGGGACAAGAACTTAGCCATCTTCTAAAGGCTCCAGTGAGGTGGGAGGTGTCAAAAACACCCTTACCTCCCCCCCAGCCAGTTTTCGACTTCAAAAAAACAGCTGTGGTAAAAATATCTCCCAAGAACAGCCAGCTGTTTATTTATAAATCTGCGCRCAGGGAAGCTTGATTTTCTCTGAAGTGTTTTCAAGAACATGCACGGTGTTTGGGTGAGAGGGGCCGGGGTTACTGGCAGCGAACCAAAGACAGCGGGCTCCTCGGAGGGATTGTCACAAAAGGCTGCCGGCGGGGATGAGGCCGGGGTGACAACGACGTCGTGAATAACTGGCTTGAAAATGCCCAGAGCTGAATCGGGCCTTTTTCCGGCGTTCCTCGTCGGGGCCCTGGGAGCAGCTGCTGTTCTCCCCGCGCCCCAGCAGATGGTGGTGTCAGCCCGGCGCTCCGCCCGCGGCCGCCCGCGCCGCCCGCGTCCCCTCCCCTTGCAGATGGCTTAATCAGGACTCGGCTCTCCCCCGCCCCGCGCGTCTGGGCCGCCGCTGCGGACGTGGAGCCAGGCAGTCAAGTGTTACTGCGTACAGCAGGTAGCCTGGCAACTGAGAGCATAATACCGAGCAGATGGTGTTCGCACGGCGTGATGGACATCACACACGACAGCCTGAGACAATCCAGGAATTCCCTGGTGACTCGAGGCCCTCTTTACACAAAATGAGTTCTCTCTCCGTGGCCGTGTATCTCTGGGGTTATCTCCCCCCTCTCCGAGTGACACCGAACTGGTTTCTTATTACCCACTTTCCTCCCAGCCCGCGGGGAGGGCTGCAGGTGGGGGAGGGCGCGGGAAGAGGACGTGGAAGGAAACGGAAGGGAGAGGGGACAGGCTGGGGGCGGGAGGGGACCGCCGATCGGCCCGGGGCGCGCAGTCCGAGAGGGATTGGCTTCCCGGTGGTCCCGGCTGCACGAGGCGCGCGCGGGGAGGGGCGGAGGCGCGGGCCCGGGGACGGTGGCAGCCACCGCCTGGGCTCTGCCACCGCGCGGTCTACCAGCAGCCTAAATGAAATTTAGGATTTTCGTTAAAAAGTCCCCGGGGGCGTAATTTACCCTCTCGACTMGAGCCTGTCTGCTTACAAGTCCTTCGGGGCCTGGGGCTAAGCAGGCGGCAGTGGGGCCGGTGCGCTCCTGGTCTCCCTGTGCACGCGGCCCTAACAAAGAAGCCGGCCCCAGAGTCCCCGCGCTGGTAGGGCTCGTGGCCAGGCCAGGCCCCAGCCCTGGGGTCTCCGAGGGCCTCAGCCAGCGCGCGCATTGCCCACGCATTGCCTGGCTCGGCCACTCCGCTTGTGCCAGTGGTCTGCGGGATACCGAAGGGAAGTACGCATGGACAGAGTCACGGCCGTGGCTAGGAAAAACTAGGAATAAATGAATAAACAGAAAAGATGTCCCAGAAAACAAATCTGTGTTACACTCTCTCTCTCTCTCTCTCTCTCTCTCTCTCTGAACTGGGTCAAGTAATTTTTTTTTTGTTTGTTTTAAATCCATCTTTGGGCCAAATGGAATTTCCACTAAATTCTATTTATCAGAAGACCTCTATGTCCAACCTCTCGGTATGCAGAAGCTTTCTCCTGTCAAGGTACTATCAAGTTTTGAGTTTCAGAGGTGGAGGTCTGTGAGAGGTGAAAGCTAACATCACAGGGTTGGGCAAGAGTTCAACAGTCTCAAGGCAGGGAGCAGCCAGGAACAACCACGGTGGGGCTGAACCAGGCCCCTGGCGGTGACAGCCACAGGTATAGGCAAGCCATCTGACCTCTCCAGCTCAGTACCCATCCCCTGAAATGAAAATCAGATTTGACTCCTCCTTGACAATGGAAATTTGGAGATGGAAATGATTAAGATGCTATCCCCCCCCCCCCCCTTGGGTACAATCAGAGGCTAAATCAGGGGTTCTTGAAGTGTGGTTCCAGAAGCAGCAGCATTAGCATCACTTGGGAGCTGATTTGAAATGC